TTTATGTAGGATAAAATAAAGTGCTACTATATTCAATCATAAGAGATTCGTGTGATCGTTTTTGTAGAATAAAATAATGTGCCATAAGAGACTCGTGTGTACATTTTTGTAAGATAGAATAATATGCTACTATAATTAGCAATAAGAGACTCGTGTGTGTACGTTTTTGTAGGATAAAATAATGTGCTACAATATTCAATCATAAGAGATTCGTGTGTTTACATTTTGGTAGGATGAAATATTGTGCCACAATATTCAATCATCAGAGACTCGTGTGTACATTTTTGTAGGATAGAATAATGTGCTACTATAATCAGCCATAAGAGACTCGTGTAATTACGTTGTTGCAGGATAAAATAATGTGCTACAATATTCAATCATAAGAGAGTCGTGTGTATACATTTTTGTATGATAAAATAGTGTGCTAAAATTTTCAGTCATAAGAGACTCGTGTATGCATTTTTGTAGGATAAAATATTGTGCTACAATATTCAATCAAAAGAGACTCGTGTCTGTAAATTTTTGTAGGATAAAATAATGTGCTACAATATTCAATCATAAGAGATTCGTGTGTGTACATTTTTGTGGGATAAAATAATGTGCTACAATATTCAATCGTAAGAAGATTGTGTGTGTACGTTTTTGTAGGATAAAATAATGTGCTACAATATTCAGTCATAAGAGACTCGTGTGTGTAAATTTTTGTAGGATAAAATAATGTGCTACAATATCAATCATAAGAGACTCGTCTGTGTACAATTTTGTAGGATAAAATATTCTGCTACAATATCTAATCATAAGAGACTCGTGTGTGTACATTTTTGTAGGATAAAATAATGTGCTACAATATTCAATCATAAGAGATTCATGTGTGTACATTTTTGTAGGATAAAATAATGTGCTACAATATTCAATCGTAAGAAGCTTGTGTGTGTACCATTTTGTAGGATAAGATAAAATGCTACTTTACTCAGCCATAAGAGACTCGTGTGTGTACATTTTTGAAGGATAATATAATTTGCTACAATATTCAATCATAAGAGACTCGTGTGTGTAAATTTTTGTAGGATAAAATAATGTGCAACAATATTCAATCATAAGAGATTCGTGTGTGTACATTTTTGTAGGATAAAATAATGTGCTACAATATTCAATCGTAAGAAGATTCATGTGTGTACATTTTTGTAGGATAAAATAATGTGCTTCAATATTCAATCGTAAGAAGCTTGTGCGTGTACGTTTTTGTATGTTAAAATAAAGTGCTACTTTGCTCAGCCATAAGAGACTCGTGTGTGTACATTTTTGTAGGATAATATAATGTGCTACAATATTAATCATATTAGACTCGTGTATGTATTTTTGTAGAATAAAATAATGTGCTATAATATTAATCATAAGAGACTCGTGTGTTTATTTTTTGTAGGATAAATTAATGTGCTACAATATTCAATCATAAGAGACTCGTATGTTTACTTTTTTGTAGGATAAAATAATTTGCTACAATATTCAATCATAAGAGACTCGTGTATGTATTTTTGTATGATAAAATAATGTGCTACAATATTAATCATAAGAGACTCGTGTATGTATTTTTTGTAGGATAAAATAATGTGCTACAATATTAATCATAAGAGACTCGTGTATGTATTTTTGTAGGATAAAATAATGTGCTACAATATTCAATCAGAAAAAAGATTCCTGTGTGTACATTTTGTAGGTTAAAATAATGTGCTACAATATTAATCATAAGAGACTCGTCTGTGTACAATTTTGTAGGATAAAATATTGTGCTACAATATTTAATCATAAGAGACTCGTGTGTGTACATTTTTGTAGGATAAATTAATGTGCTACAATATTCAATCATAAAAGATTCGTGTGTGTACATTTTTGTAGGATTAAATAATGTGCTACAATATTCTATCATAAGAAGCTCGTGTGTGTACGTTTTTGTAGGATAAGATAAAATGCTTCTTTATTCAGCCATAAGAGACTTGCGTGTTTACGTTTTTGTAGGATAAAATAATGTGTTACAATATTCAATCTTATTACTCACAAAATCATGATTAACATTAAATGACATGGTAATGGAATGTATTGACTAAATTTATTTAAAAAGTATGACTCTTCATGAACTTCGAAGATCAACTGTCTTAATTGCATTTTGAACAATTCACGTTTCTGGAAATCGTTAAAGTAGATCGATGACTCAAACCTTTAATGATCATGAACAGGGAATTATACTTGTTATAAAGCTTTTCTACATTGAAAGAATAACACTCACTTGTATATTTTCAGTTATCTATAAAATGATTAATATTGTAGCACATTATCTTATCCTATAAAAATACAAAAAAAAAATAAATTTGCCGTGAAAAAGCCATACTCTTCACTGGTTACCGATGTAACCGGTATTTTACTTCAGCGGTTATTTAATGCGGGGCATTTTATTGAGCAATATATCATGTACATGGTACATGTATTTATTCATGTATTAATTGTCTATAAAGTTCTTACCATTTGTTTTCTTTGTTTACTATCGTTTGGTTAATATTGCAAACAAAAAAAAAATCGATTATTTGGCAATTATCGGGTATTTACAGCAATCAACTGAGGGTGTGAAATACAAATTTTCCGTAACAAGTAGGAAAATATATTGTGAGAACATCTTATCAAAATCTTTATTCCCTGAAGCCATAACTAACTTGTGCAATCATTCGATTGTTGAATTATCGGATAGCGATATTCATGTACTGATCCTAATCGAGCGCATCCCGATATTTCAAGTATAACAGTTTGATATAACCGAGGAAATTCATATGTTTTCCGTCATTTGGGGCTTGAAAAAATGGTTCGTTATAGCCGAAAATTCGTTATAAGCGAGTACCTATTAAGCGATGTGATTTAATATAAAATAAAGAAGGAATCGGCCGGGGATGTCAGATTTAGTTCGCTATTAACGATAATTCGTTATAAGCGAGTTCGTTATTAGTGGAGTCGACTGTATTTATTTGTTTCAAAGTATCCATTTTTCAACAAATAACAATTTGCCAACCACATTTGCCTAATTAGAAGGATATCAATAATTCATATGTTTTTGAATCAAATATTTTAATAACTTTTGCGAAATTGAACTTTCTTCTATTGAATTCATTATGATCTGGCTCTAAAATAAAACACATTTTATTCATTATAAATTATATCTAATGGAATAAGTGGACAAAAATATGGAATTTCATGAATGCTTTATTCAATGACTAAGTATTCAGAGAAAGTATTTTAAGTAACATTGAAGGCAATCTAAAGCTTTAATATTATTATTCCAAACAATTGATGAAGCAGGGAAATTTATGTTTGTATCGTCGGAAATCTAGAACAAGAGGGCCATGATGGTCTTGAAATCGCTCACCTGGATTAAGGCCCCTAGGCCAATGCCAATTTTAAACCAGGAACTTTTATTTGAACAGACTTGGTAGACAGCCATTAAAAGATGTTTCATAAAATATATCTAAGCTCTAACTCTTAGGAGTTGTTATAAGAAGATTTTTTTTAAGTTTTTACTATATACATATAGGAAAAAACAACCCCCGGAGGGCCAATTTTGACCCAAGGGCATTTATTTAAACAAACTTCGTAGACACATGTTTCATGCTTAATATTTAAACTCTAGCTATTTGGGGTCTTTAAAAAAAGATATTTTAAGTTTTTACTATATATAAATAAGGAAAATCAATGACCCCCCGGGGCGGGGCCAATTTTGACCCCAGGGCATTTATTTGAACAACTTTGTTAGACACTGACTAGGTGATGTTTCATGCCAAATATTTAAGCTCTAGCTCTTGCGGTTTTCTAAAAGCAGATATTTTAAGTTTTTCTTTCTTTGCCATGGCAACCAGAGTTCTGCTTGGAATTGAATTCTTTGAACAATTTTTTAAGTTGACTACCAAAGGAACATTCCTGTGAAGTATAGATGAAATTGGCTAAGTGGTTTATGAGGAGATATCATTTAAAGTAAAAGTTTACTGACGGACGGACGACGTACGGACGCCGGACGAAAAGCGATCACAAAAGCTCACCATGTCACTTGTGACAGGTGAGCTAATAATGAAGGACTTTATTTAAGTTTGCCTATTTAATACTAAAGTAAATCAAAATTAATTTGGCAATAGATTAATCAAGCACTTGTGGTTACTGCATTTTAAATTGTCTTTTTTATTCTTCTTTAACATTTACTTATTGTTTAAAAAAAGTCACTGAAAATGTGGCTGAATTTTTTGAAACACCTTGTATTGTTGTATCAACATGTATCAACATGTTTCAACATTAATTAGCGATATAGTACGTTCCGAAAAGCAATAGTATGTGACACACGAATGTAAACAAGGCCTACCAAATTAATTTTCCTTCATCTCTGTATATTTGAAAAAAAAAAAAACCTTATTATTTTAGTTGATGTTTATTGACATCCCAACATGACGTTTCAGCACAAGCGGTAATTTGTTTCGTCGCGTTTTATTGGTTTTTGAATTTCACTGACGTATGAAAAAAGCAGTAAAGCATAGGCGGGTGTAGACGATTTCGAGAAATATGCATGTATACATGCATGCGTGTAATAATTTCGCTAAGGGAAGCAAGAGAAAGGGAAACTGCCGATCTCAAAGCATTTCATTCTAATGTCAATTTAATACGCCAATAAGACCAGAAAAAGTCAGACCTGAAACTTATATAACCGGGTCGCTGCGTTTTCGTCGGGTCCGTCAGGAAGGGGAAACAAACATAATTCTAGTTTTGGCCCAAACAGCTTGAAAATTGTGTGTGTATGTATATATATTTGCTACGTAATTTACAATCTGTGTTTATATATGGGACTTTTGTTTTAGCCATGAGACATGGTGTAAAAGTGTTTTTTCCTTAAAGAGAAATTTGCTTTATGTTTTTTAAAAAGTCATATATATTATAATAATACAAAATTTAAAGCATGATATAAAGAGTTGGATTATATGGGCGCCGTCATGACATTTTGTACCTTCGGACAAGTTTTTCAAACACCGGTTAAAAGTCCGCGAAATTGTTCGCAGTTTATGTCGGCTTTTCAAGTACCTTGTTGCCGCTAGATCATGAATTTCCGTGTTTTGTAGGCGGAATTTAGACACCATGTCTGAGAAGAATGATTTTCAGGTATTTTTGTATCTTTATATGACTTAAAAAACAAAAAATACAAAGATTTAAAGTGCAAAACTAGATTTTTTTACTCTTTTGAGATGTTGCGTCTGCTGTCAAATTTGACAGATGATTTGAGCGCTTCAGTTAAAAAATGAGGTTATTTATGGTGAAATTATGTTTTTATTTGTCAACTTGCATCCTCAATGTAATATATAACACCAAGTATTTAGCAGTTTAAGTTTAAAATGTGAATTTTATCGAATAATCCCGATTTTCAGTGGTTTTACTTCTTAGCAACAGTGTATACAAAGGAATTGCCTCCCTTCGTAACATAGTTACAGACCAAGAGTAATCGTTCATGTTATCGATCGATTTACTGTACTATAGAAATATAACAATAGTGAGTAACTATAGTCTCTGTAGCGCAGTCGGGAGAGTGAAGGACTAACATGTTAGAGGACCGAAGTTCGTAACCTTGAACCACACTTTTTTTTTTTTTTTTTTTTAATTTTTTTATAGTATGCATTCATTAAATAAATTGAAATTGTACCTGTAACAGTGCTTCATAGATATTTTGTAAGAAGGGAAAATATTTGTTAATATTACCTCATTTACTATCGTACCTGAGTTATTTTAACTGGATAACTGGGACAACATTTATCATTTTATATTTTATTCTAGATTATATCGATTATAACTATCATCGATCATACAATTTTATCAATAGATTATTATATTTTTTTTACTTTATTTAAACGCAGGAATTAGATGAGTTATATGAGGAATTTGGCATTGTTAATGAGACAGTCGAGAAGGTGCCACATGCACATGTAACAGAGGACAAGTTAAATGATGATTGGGGAGACGATGATGATGACCAACATGCAGAGACAATCATAGGACGTGTCCATGAGTTTGTCTACAGTGCTGCAGAGGGCATGCCGGAAGGATCAGATGGGGAGAGGGGCGAGGGCGTTTTTGAATCAGAGTCGGACGATAATGATGTCACAAGTGTACAATGTAAGTGTAAGACCAATTGTTTGTCGCAGTTTGATGCTGAACACATTCAAGGGCATATATTGTCTCTCAGGGAAATGGAGAAAGACCAAAAGGAGATGTTTGTTATGGGAAGTCTGTTGAAAATAGGTGCACAGGAAACCAGGAAAGGTAAACGTAAACGAGTTAGATATAGATATACATTTGATGGCAAAACTGTTTGTAAATCTGTGTTCTGCCACATTAATGATATTGGGCAGAGAACTGTTAAATCTTTACTAAAACATTTAAATTCAAATGGACCGGTGCCGCGAATACATGGGAATACCGGGAGAAAGCCAAGCCATGCAGTTAAGTACGAGGACGTGCGTTTCTGTGTTGATTTCCTGTTATTATATGCAGAAATCAACGGGTTAACAATGCCAGCAGCACCACGCGGAGCAGACGAGGCTGCACCCGTACTGTTACCATGTAATACTACGAAAGTGGATTTACATTCAAAATACCAACAAGCATGTGTAGAAGCCGGCGTAAGATGTCTTGGTATAACTACATTTAAATGTGTTTGGAAGCAATGCCTTCCACACATTAAGATAATGACGGCAAAAGATGACGTTTGTCATAAGTGCGAGATAATAAGGAAACGGGTGGCTGATGCTATAAATGAGATGGACAAACTTGAGGCAGCAAACGATTTACGAGAACATATACAGGTAATATTCATTTTATTACGCGTTAATAAAATTTAAAATCCGTTCGACAGCGGAATTGAATCAAACATCCTGATTTGACTTTAACACCTATTACGCTTAATTAATCAAAACAAGTCTGCAATTTTCATGTCAGTTTGTTGTTATTAATGCTTTCAAGGATCACCTTTTACAAAATGTTTATTAGTAACACTGATTTTTCCGTGCAAAGTTCTTGCGGTAATTATTTGCCTCCATAATGGAACCATACTTTTGAAATTATTGACATATCGATTGAATTATAGTTTGATACATGTGATACCAAATTTGCTATCAACAATTTAACATTTATTAAGAAAATATTTGTGTTTACTAGCATCACATGTTTATAGATATTTTATTGAAAGGTTAATAATTATAGAGTTGGCGTGATTTGTTTATATTTTTTGTTTATTTACACAAACTATGTAGGATGCACAGAGAGAGCGACAGGTTTATAGACAGACAATAGAGGAGGCTCGTGAGGAAATGAGGCACACATCAGTCACAGTCAATCGACCTGCCCAGCCATGCACTAGTGATTTATCAAAAGTGCACTATACATTCGACTATTCTCAAAATGTGACAATACCACATCATAGTCAACAAATGGGTCCTTTGTATTTTGTTACTGGCAGGAAAATACAAATTTTTGGCGTCCGTGTTGATTCTGTGTCACAACAATATAATTATCTTATAGACGAGGATGAATCAATTGGTATGTTAAGAATAAATAAATAAATAAATAAATAAGTAAATAAATTTTGCTTTTTTCTATAATACAGATATTTTGCTTTTCATTATTGTAAAATATTAATTTCATATAAACATAATTATAATAAATAAAATGTCATTTTAAATGTGTGCTGTCGAAATATGAAATATACTTAGAATTGATGTAAATTAACAGGTGCTGATGGTACAGGGACACACGGGCCAAACTCAGTTATAAGTATGCTACATCACTGCCTCGAAAACCAGGGATTTGGAGAGAAAGCTTGCATCATGCACGCTGACAACTGTGGTTGTGAGTATTTTTCCGTAAATGTCTTTTTAATTAGATAATAGTAAAGCACTGAACATTCCGTTTTATATTCAAAATGCTACATTTTACAAAGCATAGTTTTTAATTTTTAAGTTTTAGTTTAAATGTTGAAATGAAAATATATTAATTTTTTATTACAGCGCAGAATAAAAATCGATTTATGTTAGCGTATCTGGCGTGGCGAATTCATATGGGGCTCCATGATGAGATAACACTCCTGATGGGAATTCCTGGTCACACAAAGTAATTTATGTTTTTAATTCATATTATATTTTATACTCGTATAATGCGAACTTATGTATTTTAGTTTATGACAGTCCTCTACAATAATTCTGGTCTGCACAAAACGATCATTTGCTATTTTTTATGTGTTTAAACATGTATGTGCTTGCACACCAGCGGGCATATTTTATGCATGCCATAAGATTAAAACTAAAACACTGTCGAACAAATCGATTATTCCAGAACAAATCTACTTGCAATCATTATGTTCCTATAGAAATAAAAATAAATCAACATAAACTATAAATAAGCAATTTTTATATGAGCCGCGTCACGACAAAACCAACATAGTGCGTTTGCGACCAGCATGGATCCAGACCAGCCTGTGCATCCGCGCAGTCTGATCAGGATACATGCTGTTCGCTATCAGTTTCTCTACTTGTAATAGACTTGGTAAGCGAACAGTTAGAACCTTATCAGACTGCACGGATGCGCTGGCTGGTCTGGATCCATGCTGGTCGCAAACCCATTATGTTGGTTTTGTCATGATACGGCTCATATAGTTTTTTATTCGATTCCAGGTGTCTTGTGGATGGAGGATTTGGACATATCAAGAAGCTGTATAGACGCACGGACTGCGACAGTATTTCGCAGGTGGCATCTGTCGTGAGAAAGTCTGCTTCAAGCAATTTCCCCGTGCTCTTCCGCAAGGAGGATGGATGTCAGAATTGGACTTGGTATTCTATTACAAATTTTTGAATTTCTAAAATTTACACCCCATTTAAATAAGTTTGTACAATAAAACAACTAAACAAATTAATAGAGAGCTCAATTCGGCGCTCGGCATATATGCTGTCATATTACTTGTACGTGTATTAATAATTGCTTGTCATTGTAAATTATCAAGTAGTTTATGATTGACATAATATTAACTAGTCAACATATGTTACAGGTATGACTGGAAGACATTTTTGCCGCGCTTCTTTTTACCATTAAGGGGTATACAGCGGTATCACTATTTCCGTGTTACGAAGGATGCTGTATACGTGAAAGAGCGCTCAACTGACGTAGAGCAGCAGGTCACAATCCTAAAGAGAAATGCTACAGTACCAGAAGATATTCTCCCTGCAGTTTTGCTACCGGGTGGACTTTCCCGCGCAAGGCAGCAATACCTGTACAAAAATGTACGACCTTTTGTACGTCAGGTGTATCGTGATGTGACGTGCCCACCGTTACGGGAAGAATGACAATTTAGATTTACATGTACAAATGTAAACATGCATTATCTTTGTCTGTATGTTTAGTCCTTAGATTTGTTATCAATAAACTAGATATTTATTTGATATAAGAATGATCTATATATTTCAAGTTATAAAATTTTGTTAATCGTAAATTAACCAATATACTGGGTACATAAGTGCTGATCCGTTTATGTGATTTCTTCCGTTATCGTTTTATTTTTATGATTTTGAAGTTTGTAACTTCAGAGGACTGTAAAATAAATTCATTTGGAGTTACTGTCTTTATTGGTTCTTACACAATCCATTCTTAACACAAGGCAATTCGGCAATAAACCACGACGTTCTTTAAAACGTTCAACGTTTAAACAAACGTCGTCGTCGACGTCGGAGCAACACATTGGTCTATGTACATAAAAAGATATATCTTTGTCATTTTTCAAGTTATTTTCGTCAAATAAAAAGTAAAATCATCTGTAATAATTGGTTTCTATGAAAATTATGAAACCAAAAAATCGAAGAAAATTGCCCGAAGGGTCATTTTGTCATGACGGCGCCCATATGTTTGTTGACCCTTTGCAGTTCAGTGTGTCTAACAAGAACTTAAACGTTTCCTTTTCCCCGGGTTTGTATTTTCACAGATTCAAGTATGTCATTCAGTAACCAAAACTGTTTTGTGGTCACTAGGTCAAAGGTAAAGATCATTTTTCATCTAATTTCTGTACGTGCATGTTAATTTTCATTTCCCTGCGGGGTTGTTAAGAGAAAGTAAAAAATTCTGTTTTCAATACGAAAAAAAGTTACAATTTTGCTATCATTCATACTGTTAAAAGTGGATCACATGGTGTTACTGATTGTATTGATTGTTTCAGATTTACCAAAACTGCCAAAGAATAAACTGTCAAACTATGCCTGAAACATTTTCCATTTTGCCATTTAGGGGTTATTTTATTTTCAAATGATTTATACTCAAAGTGTGAAACAAACAAATCAGTATTAACAAGTTCTCCGTTATTGTTTTGTGTAAGAAAGCTGTTGACGACAATGTGTGGCTGAAGATTTTTAAAGGCACCACAGAATCATATTTAAAAGTCATATCAGTGGTTTCTACATCCAAATTAACACCGAAATTTCCCACCTGAAAAGTCTATGAGCCATAAAATGACATTTCCAATTTGACATTTTACATTTTTTTTTAAAGATTCTCAAAATGCATTCTTTTCTGGCTCACTCAAGACAAATTCTATGAATTTTTGACAATGACAAGTTGCTTTTAACATTATTGAACATTATTGGCGACGTCGTTTTATTTGTCGTCGTTGACGACGTCATTAAAATTGAAAGGTCTCACGGATTAATTTTGTTTGACATATATACTACATGTTTAAATGTAAATTAGCATGTATAACGCATGCAGAATTTAATATTAAAATTATTGACAAGGAGGTAGTTAATTTTTTATACTTTATTTCACAAACTTTGTTCTAGAGTACCGTATCAATTGTAAGCTATATCAAAGACGGACGGACAAATAGATCTTAACAATTATGATTGTCCTTTTCAAATAATACGCCAAGTAGCGCTAGTATAATTTGCTTTTCTTTATTAGCTCACGCAGTATTCGGGTAACGTAAGATTGTCAGAGATTTCTCGTCACCAGCGGAAGTTTTCCTCGGTTACATTACCTGGTCTGTTGTGCTAAATCCTTACAACGTTGATTGAATCTATTTCGAAATAACGATATCATATTAAGACGTAAAAAACATACATTATTTATATCATACAAGTCTAGACTAACAGTGAAACATAATCGAACTGAAAAGACAATTTCACATGTGTTTTAAGCGGTATTATGATTATTTGTATAGATAGGTTTCTTTTTAGGGCGCTATATATTTAGTAAGCAAACCTGTATATTTAGTCTCATATAATTTGCATACGCAGCATCTACAAATTTTATCTTTTTATTTATGTTCAATAGATGTTGTTAAACATTCGTTTATTGTTTGTTTTGTATTAAGATTTATAACCTTTTGTCTGAAAACGCATGGTGCATCATACTTGTAACCGAATTCGGATTATGTGACAGTTTTTTATCCACGCCGATGCACTAGGATTAATGTAGTAACAGTGCGTGGCTGTTACCAAGATTATGTCATAAATGAAACCACGCGAAAAGATTGCGGCAATTCGCCAGGCTTTCATTAGGGTGTTTTTGTGCACATTCATTTTTTTGTGAATGCAATGAAAGCCTACATATAAATGTCAGTATGAAAATCGGCACGCCGCAGCCGTGACTATATATATATGTAGGCATCCATATCAAGCTTGACAAGTTTCATTGCAACGGCATTGATATTTCAAGAACTCCCTTACACTATGAGGTTTTTATAAAATCGCAATGGATACTTTCATAGTTTTTTGCACGCTTTACATCTAGTACTATAGCTATTATATTTCAAGAACTCCCTTACACTACTCACTTACCCACAGGTTTTGAAATAATGTTTCCTATTATATCTTGTCGGACGGTTTATCGCTTGAATGATTACGTTATGTGTGCATTTTGTTTGATTTATCTTTTAATTTAGCTATATAAAATGTGTGTTTCTTGTATCGTTTCCAGGTACAGACATTCGCCCCTATTCAAACAAGAATTGTATAAGACTGCGAACAAAGATCAAATGTAGAAGATTTATAAAATATGCAGAATCTTTATGTCCAATACCGATCTACTTATTTCTTAAGTAATGTTAATTCTTAATCGGCATTCCAATAATATCTAGCAATGGCAGTTTTGAAATATTTACTATTCATTATTGGGTGTACAGACAGTTTTTGTTTTTTTTGTTTTTTTGTTGTTTTTTTTGGGGGGGGGGGGGATTTTTTCATATAGCCACTCGGTATCATATATAACTTCCAGGCATTTCATGAAACCTTGTATTATTGTTTGCTTTGTGGGGTTTGGTGTGCCCTTTATGGCTACACACATCTAATATTGTCAAATAGAGACCCGGACATGTCACCAGTTATGTCATTGAGTATAAGCCAAACATAATTTTGAACAAACAGTAGGTCCCTGTTCTGTGGCAAATGAAAACTTAAATGTTTAGTGACTTTTTATTCAACGTTTTTAAACAGTGAATTATATACTCTCTCCAAGTATGCATACTATTAATGACTGTATTTTACATTTTTATAAAAATAATATTTAGCACATGTATTCATGTGAAAAAAGATATTATCCTAAAGCTTAAAGATACTTTTAAAATCAAATAAAGTTGAAATATAAACATTAAAAAATAACCACCTAATAAGTTCTATGAAAGTGGCCTAAATTTTGTTATATTACTTAAATACTACAACGATTTTTATCTCCCTTCGTCTAGACAAAATAATTAAAAAAGACCCTAGAATATGTTGTCATTTAATATGCTCTAAATTTATCAAGAAATTATATAAGTTTATGTTTATCACCGGTTTGGAGTTTTTAATGCGTATGAATTAACTACGAAGGCCGTAGGCTTGGACAATTATTATTTCGTTTCTAGCAATACAAATAAAGGATCCAGAGGTATCCAACGCTATTTTTGAAGAGGCAAACATTTCCGCTGCCGATTTGGAAAAAATATAGGAAAATAAAAACATATTTTCATTTTAGAGATGCATTCCTCCACATGAGCCAACCATTTTCAAGAAATCAATTCTGAAATAACAAAATTTATAAAGATTGTTACGAGCCAGGCGTAACGAGAAAGAAAAGCCAGCAACAAACTTGTAACAATAACAAATTTATTACAGAAAAATTATTAAAGAAAAATAAAATAACAAATTATTTTTACAAATACCTGAAGTTTAAATAAAAATTACAAATGTTTAGTTTGATTTTGGAATGATTTTTTTTTAATAGCACAGTTAAATTTAAGTTAAATTTAAGAACACTTTAGAATAAATTTTTACAATAAAATTTACAAGAATAATTAATAATTTAAGCTTTAATAAATTACTTAATTTTTAAGTTGAATAATACTTTAAATATATTGATGACTTAAAAGATTACTGATGACTAAAAAGGTAACTGATGACTTAAAGATTAAGAGGTAATGAAAAATGTTAATTTATATATATTAACTAAGAAGTTTTTAGAATAGTTTTTTTATTTACTACAGTAATTATAATTTAGCAACTTTACCAATAAAGATTATTTTAGAAGTTTTTATTTAAATATAATGCATTAGTTTTGTACAATAGTTAAGAACCTTTTAGTACATACATGTAGTTTATGTTTATTGGAAAAACCAACTGGTTAGATACAAACTATATACATGTAATATGTTGCATACATAACACTTCCCCTCTTCAAGAAAAAGAAATATGAATGAAATGAAGATTTCTTTTACATAAATTTAAACAATATGACTTGCGAATAATAGGAGAAATGTTAAACAATTTTATACATACAATTATATATATGTGTATTATAAACAATTACAAACAACAATATAAAAATAAACAATTATAAGATGTAGATGTTAAATGTAAATACTGAAAATATTAGTTTTAGACACGAGAAAGTGCATTAGGGATTAAATTATTTTTTTTTTTAATGTGTTTAATGTTAAGACTATATTTTTGCAAAAACAAACTTTACCTTAACAACCTTTGATTTTTGTTTTTAAGTTTATGCAAGAAAGTGAGGGGATTGTGATTACTAAAGACAACAACAGGCAACTTTGAAGAAGTTAGATAAACTTTAAAATGCTGAATAGCAAGAATAAGAGCAAGGCATTTTTTTTTTATAGTAGAGTAATTTTTTTGATGTTTATTAAACTTTTTAGAAAAGTAACAAACAGGATGGTTAACACCATTGTTGTTTTTTTGGATTAATACACTTTTAGCACCTATGTTACTAGCATTTACAGCTAACTTAAAGTTTTTATTAAAATTTGGTGCCAAGAGAACTGGTGCACTTTTAAGTATGGCTTTAAGGCTGTTAAATGCCATTTGACACTTGTTATTTTAAATGAATTTGTTTTTTTTTTTAGCAAATTTGTTAATGGTTTTGCAATAACCGAAAAATTATTACAAAATTTACGATAATACCCTGCCATACCAAGAAATTGCATTAGTTGTTTTTTACAAGTTGGCACAGGAAATTTAGAGATAGCTTTGACCTTAGCTTTTATTGGTTTTACTTTACCCTGTTTTACTACATGTTTTAAAAATGTTAAAATTGCATGACAAAATTTACTTTTTGCAAGATTAACTGTTAATTTAGCATTACTAAGTTGGTTGAAGAATGCTTTTATAGTTTTGAGATGTTTCTCCCATTCATCAGAGTAGATGATTGCGTTATTAATGTATGCGTTACATTTGTGTAGACCAGATATTACCATGTTTATAAGCCTTTGAAAAGTTGCTGGTGAGTTTTTTATACCAAATGGCATGACTTTATATTGATACAAGCCGTTTGGTGTTACAAAGGCTGATATTTTTTTAGCTTTATTAGTAAGTGGAACTTGCCAGAATTCTTTTAGAAGATTAAACTTTGTTACATACTT